CTGAGCTGTTGTAGTTGTGTGTGCATGTCGTTGTTCAGTCGCTCCTCCTCGTCTCGTCTCTGTTTGAGCATCTGCTCCTTCAGGACCCTGAAACACACACATCATGTGATCTGTGTGACTGAGACGATGAGAGTTTATATCAGCATCGTGACCATCAATGCTGGTGCTTCTACAGCACATCTACCCACAATGCAGCAGTGACTGACCGGAGCAGCTCAGCGCTCTCCTCCTTCATCCGGCGCTCCTCGTCCTCCATCAGAGCGTCTCTGAGCAGCTGCAGTCTCCCCTGCGTCTCCTCCATCAGTCTGCTCCTCTCCTCCTCCATCTGTCTCTCTGCGTCCTCCAGCCTCTTCCTCTCCTGTTCCTCACGCTTTCTCTTCTCCTCTTCCTCCCTCTGTACTCGTCTCTTCTTCTCCTCTTCCTCAAGCTTTCTCTTCACGTCTTCCTCCCTCTCTACTCGTCTCTTCTTCTCCTCTTCCTCCCTCTCTACTCGTCTCTTCTTCTCCTCTTCCTCACGCTTTCTCTTCTCCTCTTCCTCCCTCTCTACTCGTCTCTTCTTCTCCTCTTCCTCATGCTTTCTCTTCTCCTCTTCCTCCCTCTCTTCTTGTCTCTTCTTCTCTTCTTCATCACGCGACACATGCCTGATAAGAGTCACAAATCATCATTTTTATCAATAATTAAAACTAAAAACATTAAAAACACATTTAAAAAAAAAGTAATTTTCATTATGAATAAACATTAAAAGTAAAATAAATATGAACTGAAATAGTAACAAACTGCATATTTTGACTTGCCGTTCTGGACTCCTTATGCTCAGAAACAATCATTCAATATGAGAGAGTTTGTGGTTTGAAGCTAAATACAATACTGCTTGAATGCATTCACTTACTGGACTGATCAGTGCTCCTGCTCATCCCTAACTTATACCATCATCATCATCATCATCATCACACACCTGTCTGCAGAGTCAGAGACATCCACACAGCTGTCCACATCTGCCTCGCCCTCGGCTTCCTTCCTGTCCTGAGAGACGCACACACACATTTTTATATTCCCATCTCCACAGGTTTAAAGACTCATTTAGTCTCTGTCTGTGTGTGTGTGTGTGTGTGTGTGTGTGTGTGTGTGTGTTACCACTGCAGGTGACAGATCCAGCAGATCAAACACATTCTCTGAGAGTTTGGAGCGGAAACCAGCCTGAGGAAACACAAAAAGAATAAAAATAATGACACACACAACCCAGACATACATACAGTATATATACAGCGGGTAAAATAAGTGTTGAACACGTCACCATTTGTCTCAGTAAATATATTTCTAAAGGTGCTGTTGACATGAGATTTTCACCAGATGTCGGTAACAACCCAAGTAATCCATACATACAAAGACAACAAAACAAATACGTTCAGAAATTAAGTTCTGTGTAATAAAGTGGAATGACACAGGGAAAAAGTACTGAACTACTGAAACGTTTTCAACACTTCGTACAAAAGGCTTTGTTGGTAATGACAGCTGTCTAGAGAAACTAGTGGCATGCATTGCTCAGGTGTGAGTTTGGCTCATTCTCCCACACAAACAGTCTTCAAATCTTGAAGCTTCTGTCAGCAGTTATACTGTGCTCGTAGCATGTGCTCTTCAATCACACGCACAAATACAGCAGTGCGCGCTGTAGCCTGTATCATTTCATATTAAAGCGCTAATGAAACCACGAGCATGCGTGTCAGATCTTAAAGTAATAGCAGCCAAATAACCTAATAACCAGCTGCTGTGATGTCTGTTAATCAAAGAACAAAAGAAAAAAAAGAGGAAATCAATCACTTTTGTAACTTTGATTCATCTATATTTAATTTAGAATTTAGTGTTTGATAACTTCATACAATTTCTGTATATTTCCAACGTGCTGAAGGGCACAGGTAGCTAAATATGATATTTGAGATGGTTTTAAGTTCACTTAAATTAGAAGTTGTTATTTTTTAAAGTCTAATAAATTTTAAACTTGATAGCTCTCAATTATACTGTAATGTTGAATGGCTATAGTCCATGGTTAAATATTGGGGAAAAAATAACAATTTCTTAGAGACATCAGTAGTATTGGTATCAGTGATAATGGCCTTCAGTCATAAAAAATGATACTAAAATTGATATCTCCTCAGTGTGTTAGTGTGTGTGTGTGTGTGTGTGTGTGTGTGTGTGTGAATGTGTGTGTGAGTGTGTGTGCGTGTGTGTGAGAGTGTGAGTGTGAGTGTGAGTGTGTGTGTGTGTGAGCAATATCACACTCGTAGCCGCGAGATATGGCTGTTATTCGGCTGTAGGTAAACAACATCGTGCCGATATACAGACATATCTCATGTCTACGAGTGTGATATTGATATATATAAGGGATGCACCGAATGTTCAGCAACCAAAATTATTCGGCCGAAAATGGCAGAGAAAAGCTCTTTCGGTGTTATACGAATAATATGTACCAAACAATGACGTGATGCGATCAAATAGAGGCACGCACTAATGCAGCAAACATGTCGGCATTTAAAACTGTCTGAGAAAGATTTTCTATATAGAAATAGATAAATTAGAAACTAAAAAAATTAAAAATAGAAATGTTCTAATGCATGCACGAATTGCATGTATTTAAACAGCGCTGCATGAGCTCGCGGCGCTATCTGCTCGTTAGCCAGGGTTCAAAGCGCGAGGAAAATCTGCGCTGAAACACTGCAATCACATTTTTATTAATTTTTTTAAAGGCATGTGACAATGTGATACGTGCGACAAACATCTTCTCAAATTCGTAATGAGAATCATTTATAAAGCACTGAGATCTTTCTGCGGGTTTCTACCAAAATGAAAACTCCAACATTCATAAATGTTAGTATTGTAATTTTTCTATTGTTCTGTAAAATAAAATAAAAAAGTAAGACAATAATAATGATAATAATTCCCCTACAACAGCTCTATTAATACATTTATTATAACACTCACACATAGTGTACCAATTTGGATCTGTAATATATTCTAATGTTTTAAAAGACGTCTCTTCTGCTCAGCAAGGCTGCCTTTATTTGTACAGTAAAAAATACATGCCTGATTCAAGAAGGGGGTCTCAAAAATGGCCTAAAAATATTATTTTACTAACTTATTCATTGTAAAGGTGACATATCATGAAAATCTGACTTTTCCAGGTTGTAAGTGCTATATATATATATGTGTATGTGTGTGTGTGTTGACGAGGTCATACCTGCACATTATCAGCGGATGAGAGCGACGCTGCTGCTTCACCGTCCTCAGACTCCTGTCACAGAACAGGACACATCAGACACACGTACATCAGCTCACACACACACAGATAACACACACAGCAGTATGAGGAGAGGATGCTGGGAGATTCAGCTCTGCTGCAGAGAGGAGCTCTGACTGGCTTAAACTAGTCTTACTAGTCAGTCATCTAATTTCTTTCTTCAAGACTGCTCATTACATAAAGGGCTAAATTGGTCTGATTACCTCTTGACTAACGGCTAGACTAGTTCTTAAGGTCTTTGCACACCGAGTTCGAAATTCTCGTCTGAAATTTTCGCACATTAAAAAATAAATACGACCTCACGTTGTGTCAATCACGTTTACACACTGCCTCCGAAACTTTCGTCCATCATAAAAAAAAATTCTAATAAGGTTCGATTTTCCGCGTTTTCGCATCTGCAGCAAGAATTTTGATAGGAAAGGATGACGGAGATGAAAAAAACGCATACAAAAATTTTGGACTCAGTGTGCAAGGACCTTAAGTAACTGTGTTTATGCAGCGGATCTGATCCTGCACAACGACTGTTCCTGATAGGTGCTCTTAATGCCACATGACTGTGCTGAGACACACCTCCTCTCTGCAGTGACACACACCGACACACAAACACTAAACGAACGAATCACTGAACGAACGAATCACTGAATCAGAGGTTCCAGAGGTGATTCACGCATCCCCAAACAATCACAGACTCCAGTGCTGCATGTGTTGTGTGGGACGGAGTGAAGCACCTAAACACAGGTGGGCGGGGCATATGGGGTGGGCGGGGCTTGGCGAACAGGGGCGGGGCACTCAGTCCTACCTCACTGGACACTGGACTCCACTGAGGCACAAACTTCCCTGCTTTAACGCGAGTTACTTGAAGGCGAGAGCTGTTACTCTGAAAGCCGTCGCTCTGAGCCTCCGAGACGAGTCCTTCAGTCTCTCTCTGCTCTTCCTCACGTTTATCCTCCTCTGCCTCACTCTCCTGATGCTCTGAAAGCCTCTCTTTCTCCTCCTCCTCAGAGGAAACACTTCTGACAGCCTCTGCTTCTCCGTTGTGTGTTTCAGCCTGTTCTTCTCTTTCAATCATCTCTTCTTCCATGTTTCCATCATCTTTGCTTTCTGTCGGATCTCCTCCTCCTGTTCTCTCCTCCATCGCGTTCTTCTCCTCCTCCTCAGGACTCTTGAATCTCTCGATCTGTTCATCACTCTCCTCGCTCTCTGTGTTGTGCATCTCTTCATCTCTGATCTGTCCGTTCTCTTCTATGCTTTCTTTCCTTTCTTCTTCTTCTGTTGTCTCCTTCTCTTCAGGACTGTTGAATCTCTCAATCTGTTCATCAACTTCATCAATCTCTTCTTGTCTGTGTTTTTGGTTCTCCGTCTCTTCGTCTCTGTTCTCTTCTTCCATGTTTCCATCATCTTTACCCTCAGTCTGATCTCTCTCTTCTTTTTTCTCTTCCATCTGGTTCCTCTCCTCCTCCTCAGGACTGTTGAATCTCTCGATCTGTTCATCGACCTCCTCGCTCTCTCTGTTCTCGGTCTCTTCGTCTCCGATCTGTCCATTCCCATCTTCTCCGTTTTCTTCATCTTTTCTCTCTTCTTCAGTTCTCTCCTCCGTCCGGTCCTTCTGTTTCTCCTCAGGACTGCTGGATCTCTCAATCGGCTCTTCGATATCCTCATCGTTCTCGGTCTCTTCATCTCTGATCTGTGCGTTCTCCTCTTCGCTCATCTGCTCGTCTTCCTCTTGGCCGCTGAACGCCGCAGCATCCGGGGTCAGAGGTCGTGAAGCTGCTGTGGAATGGAGGTGACGTCCACACAGCGAGTCCTTACAGTGGAGGGATGCAGTTAGAGACAGACGGACAGACAGACAGACAGTTGTGAGGTCACATGCAAATCCCTCAAACAAACAGGCGTATTATTAACAAAGACACACAGAAAAGCTGCAGAGAGGAGCAAAAGAGAGACAGAGAGACACACAGGTACCTCTGAAGGCGCCTCTGGACTGTGATCCCTCGACAGGGCCAAATCCTGTAGTTCAGGTTCTGTTCTTTCTTCAGGAGGAACCGTCACACTGACCTCACTGTCCTGAAACACACACACACACACTTCTCAGTCAAAGCTGCGGACACACTGACTGAAGCCGTGTCTGAAACCGCTCCCTATCCCCTATATGGCGCACTCTATCAGGTGTCGGCCCTTCTGTAGAGCTGTCTGAATTCTGAACGAACGCAGCGGCAGAGCCTGGATGTTTTCATAGGCGTGGCCAGCAACCAGTCTGGGGTGGCACAGAAGTCTTCATTATTTCAATATAAACATTAGGGCTGCCCCCTAATAGTCCACTAACCGTTAGTCGACCAGAAGAGGCTTGGTCGACCACGATTTTATTAGTTGCAGAATTTTTTTAAAATAAAAATCCACATTGGCGAAGTCACGCAGATCGTTAGCGGCTGGTCTATGTGGTAGTACAGTACATCGAGCAGGACATCCAAACACTCGCCTATCATTCATCGACCTCAAATATGGCTTATCATCTGAAATATGTTAGTAGCAGCAACTTTACATGGCTGCTCAATCTAATGTTAACCTAGTCTAACCTACTCTGTAATCTTTGCTCGTACAGATAAGAGTAATACATCTTTCGAATCTGTAAAGACTCTACGTTTATTTGTGTGCACTCACAATAACAACAAAACATTGAGCTTTTGTAAAATAATGAAAGCAACAGGATGCACTTTCTGCCATCTCGGTCTCCGTGAACTTGAGCGCGAAACTCTGTGTGAACCAGCCTTACAGACATGAAAAATATATCTAGAGAGCGAAATGTCTACTTTCAAATAAACCAATTCAAATGGAAAACAAATATTCTCAGATTATGTAATCCGTATGAAACATGAATACAGGTGCATCACTACTGCGGAGATGACGAGTGAGTGTCGCCGACTTCATCTCTTAAACAGAGAACGAAGAAAGCACTAGTTTAGCAATAAATTATTAAAATGTTAATGCAGACTCCTTACTGTTTTTCCTGACACATTCATAATCATTACTTCTGCGGTGCGTCGTGGCAAGCTTTATGTGTGCGCTTGAGTGCTTATTATATGTAGGCAATTAAAGGCTCATTATAATGATTTAAATGGTTTATTAATAAACGTGCAATTAGTCGACTAATGCTTCAAACGAACGACTACTAGTCGACCAGACAAATCTTTAGTCGAGGGCAGCCCAAATAAAAATGTGTTTGACTATAAAGTACTGGACTGTTTTAGTGCCTAAAACACAACTGAATACAACAAATTTCTACTTAATTGTAATTTGTGTCAATTTGTAACAATTTGTGTATTATTCCTGACCTCCAGGTATTTTAATAAAGGGTCTCACTATAGCTTTATTACTCAGTCAGCTTGGTTCTGGTTCTCAAAACCCCCAAAAGCCTGTTCTCCAACATTGCATATTCATGGATGAGACATGCAGATAGTGATAAGAATGTGAAAAAGGCCAGAAGTCAACAGAGTTATTTTATGCATTTAAATGGTTTCATTATCGTTTTTACGTTACAAATTAACGGGAAAAAAATCTGCGCATATTTTCTAGTATAAGTGCACTGTGCTCGCATTTACTCATGCATTAAATTACAAATAAAAATATACATATCAGCTTGCGCCTTATATTGTGATCGCGAATTGCAGAATATATTTTAGTACATGCATTTGAGAGACGTTCTATATAATGTGATGCATATATGCATACATGCATGCACAGTTTGCAGCTTTAATAGCCTTTTTGGTAATTTCATAACTTAACTGATGACAGAACTACATTGTATGCTCATAGTTTCTTGTGCGCTGTATTTATGTGTTTTTTCCCCCTAACTGAAATTATGCATTTTAAATTCAAATATAATTCGAATATTGATCATATTTAAGTACAAGATTCGAATGTAGTTTTTCAGCCATTCTGACAGCCCTGCAGTACTATGGAGGAAAGTCAGACTGATGTGCATTCATGTGCTGTGTTTGTGTTCACCTCGTACTGCAGCCCTGCTCCCAGAGCGTCCAGATCCAGATGGAGGTTCTGCAGGAGTCCGGCTGAATCCCGCGGCGCGCGCACACACACACACACACACACACACACACACACACACACACACTTAGATCTGATCCAGCGTTCAGTGGGACTCAGGCAGTGTGTGTGTGTGTGTGTTTCAGACTCACCTCTTCCTCAGAGACCTCCTCGTCTTCCTCAGCGCTCCTCTCCTCATGAACGCTCCTGGAAGCAGCAGAGCTCGACACGCCAGCCTAATGCACAGAATCCAAATCAAAACCCAAAACACAGGTCACACTCACAAATCACAACTCCAATACATTTGTGCTGTTTTACACCGAGAGACGTTTTGAGCAGCTGGAGTCCAGACGAGGCGCCCAGAGATCCTCTGAGAGGAGCGACAGGAGCCTCAGACAGACCGCGGAGAGGAGCGAGAGGAGCCAACAGCTGCAGACAGAGACAGAGATCACACAGATCATTACACCTGCTATTCAAAACATTTTTAGTCTCTTCTGCTCACCAAGGCTGCATTTATTTGACTGAAATACAGTAAAAATGCTGAAACATTATTACAGTTTAAAGCAGCTGTTTTCTATGTGAGTATCTGTTAAACTGTAATGTATTTCTGTGATGCGCAGCTGTATTTTCAGCATCATTACTCCAGTCTTCAGTGTCACATGATCTTCAAAAATCATTCTGATATGCTCATTTGCTGCTCAAGAAACATTTCTGATTAATATCAATGTTGAAAAAATTTTTGTGGAAACCACGATACATTACTATTCAGAAGTTTAGGGTCAGAAATTTGTATTTTTATTAATCAAGGATACGTTAAATTTATCAAAAATGACAGTAAAGACATTTATAATGTTACAGTAGATTTCTATTTCAAATAAATGCTGTTCTTTTGGACTTTCTATTCATCTGTGAATCCTGAAAAATAAAATGTATCAGTTTCCACAAAAATATTGTACAGCACAACTGTGAGTGAGTGAGTGAGTGAGTGTGTGTGTGAGTGAGTGAGTGAGTGAGTGAGTGAGTGAGTGAGTGAGTGATTGTGTGTGTGAGTGTGTGTGTGAGTGAGTGAGTGATTGTGTGTGTGAGTGAGTGAGTGAGTGAGTGAGTGATTGTGTGAGTGAGTGATTGTGTGTGTGAGTGTGTGTGTGAGTGAGTGAGTGATTGTGTGTGTGAGTGAGTGAGTGAGTGAGTGAGTGAGTGAGTGAGTGAGTGAGTGAGTGAGTGTGTGTGTGTGTGT